GGCAGTCACTTACCCTCTGCTCTTCCGCATCCTCAGTTGTGAAAGGGACAGAGTAATGAGGGCCTGGAGAGCTTTCGTGAGAATTAAAGGTAAAAAGGCCACTAGCTCTGGGCCTGACAATATGGCAGCACTCAGGAAATTCTGGTAACCACAGTTCTAGGCAACATCATTCTGGTGTTTCAAACCCAGGTGCGTCCCGCACAGGCCGCCCCTCTGCCTCTGCCACCTCTCACCTGTCAGCTTCTCAGCCAGCATACTGAGTTGATCGGAATTCAGGCCACGGCCAACATAGGATGAGAACTGCCAGCTCATGACTTCTAGCAGCTGGCTCAAGGTGACGGGTGGAGGGTTGGTGAAGAAGAGCAGGTTCTGGAACAGAATGGTGGCGCTGACTATGCCTGCTCGCCGTGCTGGAAACACTGTAACTCAGTGCATAGGATCTAAAGCCCAGGCCAACCCGGTTAACAACACAGAGTGATGTGGTCCTTTCCTTGAAGGATGGATGTTGCTTTTTCCTAGAGGGCTTTTTGTTCCTTACATATAATACAGGGCTTCCTCTTTCCTGAATCATTTGGGGTCACATAATTCTCCATGAACTATCAATCAGCTTATACAAGTATTTAATACAATCTAAAATATAATTGGACACATACTTTTTTCTGAAATAATTTTTTTTTCAGTACTGGGGATCAAATCCACACAGGCACATTACCGCTGGCCTGCAACCTCAATCCTTTTTAGTTTTTAAGATTGTTTGTTTAGTTTTAACTAAACGTTTTGCTAAGTTGCCTAGGCTGGTCTCAAACTTGCGTCCGCCTCTAAAGTAGTTGGCATTGTAGGCATGTGCCACGGTGTCGAGCAATATTCTTCATAAACAAAACTTACTATGCTCAGTGGGCTCGGTATGAATGGATGCAAGCTATACCTTGGCCCTATCAATCATCACAAAGAACAAGAAAGTACGAAGCCACAGGCTAAGGGAGGTGATCCTATAGTTCATGACTACCCTCAGACTCCTGTTCTAGGGGTTGTGCAGTATTCGTGTCTTACTTGCCCTCCAGGACAGCATATGCTGTGAGATCAACTGTAATCGAGATTGTGCTGGAGCCCAGGTCAGCCACAGCGGGGGACAAGACTGCTCCAGATGACGGGAAAGCAGTAGGTGTGGAAGCCGGGGAACACGCTCTCACACGGAAAGGAAGGGAAGAGGCGAGAAATCTGTTGGGGCATCTGAGGGCACCACTGCTGAGCACAAGCTATACAAGGCTCCAGGCAGTGGGGGTGGAAGAGGATGGAACCTCCAACAAGGAGCGAGAGACAGACAGGAGGGAAGAGAGGGGACATTTCAGGGAGGCCACTTTCCTCGGACCTGAGAATTGTGCCTGCAAAAACTGTCTGAAGGCCCAGAGTACAACTGGGTCAAAGGCTTAGGCTGCACAGCAGGGCATAACTGAGAAATCATAGTTGCTCAGCTTGGTTCTGTAAAGAGCCGTGAATGTGTTTTAGGAGCTAGTTGTTTCCCAGTCCGAGCTGGCACTGAGGAAATCCAGGATGGTTGGGGTGATGGCCTTCGTAGCTTTTCTCTGGAGAGGTGTGACGGCAGCCTAGCTCGGGCTGTGCCGTGAGGCTGTCTCCTCCCTCCACCCCGGGGCAGGAGGGAAGGTGTTCCTGCGGCTCCAGATGGGGAATGGTATTTAATCCTGAAGACTCGGGACTTCTTCACTGAGCTCTCCTGCTCTTCAGGCTGAGAAGAAGCCGGGCGCAGGGCACGCTGCGCGGCCTCCCTCCCTGTGCGCGCCTGTGCCCGAGGGGCAGCAGCAGCAGCGGCCGCTTGCCACGCTGTCTCTTCCTTCATGGAAAAACACTTGGAGCTGACCTGTGCTGGCTTTGCTCTACTGCTGGGATCGAACAGGAAAGACTTCTTTGGAGGGAGCATTTGTCTTGAAATCACAAGGTGGCTATTTACTTTTGACTTGTTTTTCCTCGTCCTTGGCAGTTTCTGAGACAATGCCCGGAGCGAGCTAGAGGAAGCGCGCTCATCTTACGCGGTCCTGCCCAGTGTCCTGCTAGGAGCTTCCTGTCGTCCCTCTCACTGTCCAGGGACACGGTTCGTCACGGTCTCAAGCAGCCACTAGATGTCACCAGCACCCCATTTAAGGCTAGGAGGGGCACAGTTTATGCAACCACCCACATTTTTGCACTGTTAGGGAGGTACACTTAGGGAAGAGGGATATGGAGGCCGGTTACTTATTTGGAAACCAGTTCCCTACTTCTTTGGGAGATGCTGTGGAAAAGGTGGGTCTGGAAGCAACTAACGAGGTCAGTTATAAAAGTCTGATGGCGGCCCAGGAGTTTCTCTGCAGCCTGCTCCGCAGAGCCAGAGGATGGCCTGGGAACTCTCTACTACGCCCACTGCTGCAGAGAGCTGAGCAAACCCTTCAGAAATAACAGACCCAGTGCCTGTCCCCTCTGCTAGCCGCAGCTCTCAGGATGTGTCAAGCGCACTATTTAAGAGAGAGGAGGGCAGGGGAGATAGCTCAATAGAATAAGCGCTTGCCTGGTGAGTGCAAGGTCCTGAGTTCAATCCCTGGTACTGAGAAAAGAAAAAAAAAAAAAAGAATTGGGAGGCACATACAATGAGAAATGAAACAACATACACATACACACATACACAAGCGCACAGAGTTTACTGACAGCATCATAAGCTGGCTAGGACAAGAGGAGGAAGGATAAGAATAAAGACTGTACCTGGGAGTCGTGGGTTGACACATTGTACCAGATGATGGACGCCCAAGCGTTAGGTAGCTGACTGACGTTGGATATCATCACCACAGGTAGCGAGCTGGTCTGGTGTTAGAAAGAAGCGTTATTGTAGGCAGCGAGGTCCTCCATTGCTCTCACTCTTCACTGTCTCCTCTAAAGGGCCATCTCAAGCCACGCCCAGTCTTCCAGTCCTAATGTCCCTGGTGCTGGGTCACTCAATGGCCTCGGAGGGCAGAGGACCTCTCTGAGCAGCAAGAGTCAGGGCACAGGGAGGAAAGGGGAGGGATCCTCTGAGAATGCAGTCAGGCCGCTTCTCCAGTGGCTTCCCAGCCCCTGAACACAGATGCTCCCGCTTCCTGTGTCACATACAGGCCTGCCTCGAATGCACCTGATGAGCGATCCTACTGACTTAGCAGCTCTCCTCTATCTACCTTAAAGAATGTGATTTCAAATTTACCTCTGGTAATCCGAATATTCAAAAGAGGCCCTAAGGTCTAATGACTGTCCGGACTGAAGGGGGGTATTTTATTGCAAGAAAGGTCTCCTGTTGTAGAACCAATCGTACTATACTACCCTGGGGAATAAATAAAGAGGTGTTCACAGACTGGCCTGGAGGCTCATGGCCACCAACCACCCCTTCCCAGTTACAGACCCCAGACTCTCGCAGCCAATAACCCAACCCACAAGAGGAGCTGAGCAACTCACAGCACCAGAGGCCTAGGGAAAAGAGATGAGGAAGGGATCTCTGAAAGTGTAACAAACACGTCTGCATTCATAAAGATAAAAGAACAAAGACAGCGCTCTAAAATACACTCCACGAATAGGATCACACTCAAGGTGAATGGTGTCCATTCACCCATGCATTGATTGGCTCATCTATTCAACAAATATCAAAGATCTACTACAGCTGTGCTGGATGCTGGACCCTGACAGTGCTGTCCAAACAAGGCCTGGTGTCCTGCGTTTGAGAAGCTCAGAGTCAACCACTCATGTCTAATCCCTGAGGTTTCCTTATTCTTTGAGTTTCATGCTGTTAAAAGGCTCGAAGCAATGTGCTGTCAGTAGCCTCCCACTTTCGCTTGTTCAGTACATTAGAGGGACTGACCTCCAGATCGATGGTCAGGCCGTAGAGGCAGATCTGTGTCTCAAACGTTATGGAATGAAGCTCTTCCGTCACCACATGACAGCCCTGTGGGAGGAACCAAGAGTCATCTTGACAACGCTCAGCTACTGTGTAATGTTAGAGCATTTTTTTAAAAATTAATAAACCTCCAAGTAACCCCCCAGACATTCCCCCATTACTGAGCATTCCCTCTTGACACACAAGTCACACGGAGTTTGAGAAATCTTTATGTCCACAAACAGAATGATTGTAGATCCCCCATTGGGGCTTTTAAAATTCCAGCATATTTTCCTTAATTGAAATTCAAACAAGTTGTTCTTTATTTTTGTCATTTTGATTTATCAAATATTAATAAAATATAACATGCATGTGTTAGGTATACAGAAATAATTCCTAGCATCCTTGCGAATTTGTGTTAAAAGGCGGCAAGATTTCCTTCTGATGAAACCAGGTGGGTGAGATACCTAAACCTTCCTCTGTTCATTCCAGAAACTCTGGTAAGGTAGCAGTGGGGTTTTGTCCACTTTCTAATAAAGGACAGTGGGAAGGTGGATCTCCAGTGAGAAGCAGGAAATGTGGGGGTGGAGAGGAACCCAGGGCTGCAGCACTGAGCTGCCCTGAGGCTGCAGGTGGGAGGGTGAGGAGGAGGCTGGTCAGGAGCCTCGCCTGTGCTGTCAGAGGTCAGGGGTGGGCTGTGGGCAGGGCAGGGGCAGGGGCAGGTGGCGAGCTGCGGAAGCCCACGGTGATGTCCATCCTCCCTCTGTTTCACACTTGGCTGCTCACAGCCAGGCTTACAATTTCCACACAAGACCTCCAGGAAGTAGGCCAGAGAGAGGAGCAGAAGACACTTCAGTGGGGGGAGGGGTGGGCTCATGAGACAGCTGGGTCCTAAGATTCCCTCCTAAGCCTTCAGTCCCCAGCACACATGTAGGGTACCGAATTCGAGTAAACACGTGTAGAGGACAAAGATGGAAGATGGGGGCTAGGTGTCCTCATCTCTAATTGCAAAGGTGGAAACTATAAGGTGGTCAGCGGGTGCTCCATATATATAGATATAGATATAGATATAGATATAGATATAGATATAGATATAGATATAGATATAGATATAGATGTAAAGAATCAATATTACATCTAGGGTTTGTCACTGAGAAGCAGGTACAGAACGGCAATAATCTCCTCTCTCTTGGGCTGGGCATTGTGGTGCCTGCAGGTTGTGAGAGTGGGGTGGGATGACTTGCACTAGAAAGTGGGGCCCTGAGAAGTTATGCACAATGAAAGTCCAGCTTGGAGCCCCTTAGGCTTCCCGGAGAGTATCCAGCCCTCTAACACTAGACAGCTCCTCCTTCTCCTGCAGTGTTGAAGCAAATATGGCTGTTTTTTGGGTGAAATAAGATCAACTAACTGGCTTGTGTTTAGGCACCAATTGAAGCAAAAATCACATTTTTAACAATAGAAAACCTCCCTACCATATGAGGAGGGGGTGTTTACATGATATTAAGAACTGAGACAACTGAAGAACCCATAACTTCCGCCTTTGGTCCACCAATGGATGCTCCTCATGTTCTCACCAAGTTCAAGGATAGAGTCAAGAGTATATAGGACATTTGAGAGGCCTCTTGGGATTGTATAAACGGAGAACTGAGACCATGTTTACATATTAAACCACTAAAAATTAGCACTGGTAAAATATGGTCTAACCTCTTGCCTTGACACATAGCTTTCACATGACCCAAGAGGCTGATTTGAGCTCCTCCAAGTCCCACTGGCACATGGTGGCAAAGGTAGGATATGGTCATCCTGGGCCATTGTCTACCTTCTCTCTTGCACCTGTGGGAGGGGCCTCATGGGACTGGGATGGCTTTTTAGCCTCTCGCTGTGCTGGGATTGCTTGCAGTGAGTGCTAGCCATGTTCTGGAGGGCAGAGCTGCATAAGGGGCCCAGTGAGGCCCTCAGAGAGGGTTCGTGTTTCCTTGGGCTGGAAATTCTGGGGTTCTGAACTCTGGGTGGGCATCTTATGGTGATCCACGGATGATTTCTTTGCAGGGAGGGCTACAGCTGGAGGAGGCTCAAGGAAATCTTTCTGAGTGTGCAGCCCTATGTATGATATTATGACATATGAAATACCTTCCTAGACTCTGTCTCTAGTTCCTGGAGCAAAGCTCCTCAGGTCCTTGTACACAGGAATGCTAGAAGAATCTTTCGTTTTAATTGTTGGTCTTTAAGTCTGGTTCCTGCTGCAGAGTTTATAATTTCCTAAGTGACACAGAGTGCCCAAATCTTTTGGGACTTCCTGGGCTATAGGAGCATGGTTTGTTCTGATAAAGCGACCCTTGGAGCCCCTGGTGATACCCAGAATTGGGTCCAGGGAACCTTCCAGGGCCATATGGGCTTGGGAATTTCAGCCCCACTCCCCTGAGGAGGCAGCTGGGCCAAAGCTTGGGCTGATCACCGACCGCAGTGCTGCTGTCAATCGAGCCTCCTTAACGAAGCTTGCATAGAACCCCCAAAGAACAAGATTTGAAGAGCCTCTGGGTGGGTGAGCACAGAGTGGTTGCCTGGAGGGTGCGGTGGCTGGAGCTGCCGCCCCTGCAGACCTCGCCCTGCGCCTCTTCATCTCTATTCCTGTAATTTCCTTTCAAAGAAACCTGGAAATACTGGTAAAGTTCTATGAGCTGCTCTAGCAAATTCATGGATCTGAGGAGAGCTCTGTGAGAACCTGCTTGTGGTCTCTTGCCTGGGAGCACAGGTCACACACTGGCTCTTGGCATTGGCATCTAAAGTGGAAGGGGGCTCAGCTGTCCCAGGGCCTTAACTCCGGCATTTGATATTGGGTGGGTAGCACCAGAGTTGAGTTAAATTGCAGGACATCATCCTGGTGCCGCTGGAGGACTGGGCTTGGAAAGGGGGGATTCTCCCTGGGGTGGCAATTAGAGGTAAGGTTTTCTGGACTGGGGCAGAGCGGGAAAACTGGAAGTACAAAGTCTTTCTCATTCCAGCCTCTGTATAGTTTCATTTAGATGATTAAATATGCACACAGTCATTCACTGGGGACAATTTCCTCAGCTCTTGGAGTTGTGGTACCCATATGCTCACCATCCCAACAGTAGGGTCACAAAGAGTGTGAGACCCCAGGACTCCACACACAGAGCGACGACACTCAGGGTTATCCTTTCACTCCACTGTCTTGGTGATTTAGCGTAATTTCTGAAGTTTACCTGGACACTTCTGATGCAACTATGATGCACATTTGGAACAAAACCCAGCAACAAATCCAACAAACAACATGCATGCTCAGAAAAAGCGGCCCTACAGAGGAAGCGTCGTTAATTTCCACAGCTTGCACAGCCATCAGTCGCGGCATCAGTGTAGCCGAAGCCGGGGCACTGTTCCATCTCACATTCCCAGGGCCCACCCCTTACAGATGGGGAATCATCCCGGAGGATGCACCATTAACGTCTGTGGTAGAAGCCTGCCTAATCATCAGAGATGGTTACAGATTCAAAATCCGTGGCGTATTAATGACATTAACATCGTGAGGCACTGAATGTTGTGGCTGGATTGACCATGCAATATTACTAAAGAGAAATACCCAGTGGACATCTACACTAGAAGACTGGCCAAACAACTTGGCCGGGGCCCCGTCTGGGGAAAAAATATACAGTCCAAAGGAGGAAAGGTGTGGCTCGGTGTCTCTTCATGCCAGCTTCTTTTCTCTGTTCTCTGTCTAGCAATATACCAGTATTTAATACCTCTTCTAAGAAAAATTTGGTGCTCATTTCTTAGCAAGATATTGCAACAATAATTGATATTGTTGCACAGGGAAAACTGTGGTACAGAAAACAAAGCGATCCATGTAACAAATATTGAGCTCCTACTATGTGTTGGACACCATGTTAGTTGCTGAGTAACATTGAAGAAGAGGAAATGGAGTGACCACACGAAAGATGCTCTGTAATCTCAAGCCTAAAATGACCAGGGTGACAACAGTGCCCAGCATATAAAATGAGAGTGCCCTGTGGATGGTGCTGCTTTTAGCTTAAGTTTTTAGTGATATTTGTATGCTGATTTCTACCTTAAAGAAAGCATCACACAATTTTATGACTTAGGAAGATCTTGTCTCAATAAAAGATAAGGTGGGATAGGTAGCTTAGCTTGGCCCTCAGTTATCTCAATAAAAAGTACATTTCCAGGGTTGCAGCTGTAGCTCTCAGGAGTTCAGAAGGGAGGCAGCTTGCTGCGAGACGCTGGGGCTGGTTGCGTGGGAGTGGTGTGTCTGCGCTGGAGAACGCTGACCCTTGAAAGAACAGCTGTTGGGCTATTTTGTTAAATGGAACTCAAGTCATCCAGGCTTTACTAATAGCGTCTTTGTGCTTGGTGACTTTCCACCACATAAACGCAATCACCTAACACCTCAGTCTGTGGCCAAAGCTGTCATTTAGTGCTTGAAGTCTCCTGACAGAGCAAATGGAGAGACTGCACCTCCAGCTTCCCTATTCCAACAGTTCTCACACTTCAGTGGTCCCTTGCTGGCTGGCCTGGCTCCCTGTGTGATAAAGCCCAGGTGTGCGTGCGTGCAAGCGTGTGTGAGTGTGTGTGTGTGTGTGTTCATGGGAATGTTTACTTTGCCAGGGTGGGTGATGGCTTCAGAGTCTGGTACTTGCTAGGAATCAGTTCTCCACTGTGACTGCCCAGGGAAAAACAAAGGTGGGGGAAAGAGGCAAGGATGGCTAACCTGGGCTCTGTGACAATGTCTATAGATTCCTCAAGGGATGCTGTGAAATTCCAAAGCAAATTCTTCAATCGAATTCCTTTAAAATAAAACTTTTTTTGTTTTTGTTTTTGTTTTTGTTTTTGTGAGCCTCATTCCTGTGTTGCACTTCTGGGGATTGGAGAATCTCAGTCAATAAGATGCTTCAAAGACTGTGCAGTCCAATGGATTTTGAAGAAAAAAAAAGCCTTTAAACCTGGAGCCATACACTTCACAGTGAATTTCTCATCCAGGTTTCCATGTATCAAATACATAATATGAAGCTGCCCCAGAAGAAGCAGGGCGAGGAAACTCTGGGGACACTCTGGGTCTTGAGGAAGCACAGCGGGTCGT